TTCAACTTTCAAGCTCAATCTAGAAAATTTCACAAATTAATACAGGTAAATCTCCTCTGTACATGTATTATAATCTACCATAAATATAAACAAAAACAAATTATAAATAAAAATAAATCAACGAATAAATTTAATTAGGCAACACAATTTAATTGTAGTAAATTTAAACCACCAGAACAATATCAGCACAAAAAAAAAAAATCAAAATTTGTTGAAGATATTAATAGAGAAGATTTGATTATTTATATTTATATTTATATTCTTAATTTTCTAACATATATTTAAGCCCGGTGCTTTCTTGCAAAACCCAACTCTTCTCTATTCTTTTCTTTTCTCCTTTGTTAAGCCATTTATTAAGAGTTTAGACAGAAAATGTTGAGAGTGTTCAGCAGCTTAATGGTTGTAGCCAGATGCCGGACAAGTTGATTGCAGCCGGATGCCGGACGAGTTGGTTGCAGCCGGATGCCGGATGCCGGATGCCGGACAAGTTGGTTGCAGCCGGATGCCGGACGAGTTGGTTGCAGCCGGATGCCGGACGAGTTGGTTGCAGTCGGATGCCGGACTCCATCTCCAAAAATCACGTCAACGGCTTTCTTGAACCGCTTCCTTGAAAAATCCAAAATGGAAGGAGAAATCGGAGATGAGGGATTATCGTCACCACCACCATCACCGATCTGCAGATTTGGGCACTATCGTCACCACCACCATTACCGATCTGCAGATCTGGGTTTTTGACACTCACTCACCTCTGGCCTCCTCCGGTTTTGGTTTTGTCTTGAATCAAAGATTGAAGATGAGAGGAAAAATCGAAAATGGAAGGAGAAATCGGAGATGAGGGGAAAGGTGAAAGCTTGGATGAGATTGACTGGTTCTATAAGTAGAAGAAGAAGAAGAAGATTTGCCGGCAGGAATGGTTGAAGCAAAGGGAAAGGAATCTGTTTGGGGAAAGAAATAAGAGTGAAGAAATATAACAAAACGCACACTATCTTCTTCTGAGTTCAATTTCAAGAAAAATCAAAACATTGATTCACTTTCAAAATACAGTACGAGGAGAAAAAATTAGGGATTTTACCTGCAGTGATACCTTGCCAACGAAAGAAGGATTACAGTGATGAAGAGAGCAGATGGTTTGATGTTGTGTAACTTTCAGAAATAGAAGACCAGAGACAGAATCAAAATCCATAGGAAGAGTCGAAAAGGAAAAAAAGAAAGAAAGAGAGAAAGGATCCATAACAACTTATCAGATTCTAAATTAGTCAAGAGCAGCATGGAGAAGAGTCGAAACCCATATGGAGAGAGAAAGAAACAGGAGATCTGGGCTTTGATTTTAGATTTTTGGTGATGCACGGTAGAGATATGGCTGAATCTAAAATAGATTGGTGTTAGAGATGGATGATGAAGAGAGTTCACAATAAAGAGAGGGTGAGATCTTGGCCGACTGTGAAAGGGGGTGAATGAGGAGAGAAAGTGAGAAAAATGAAAGTGAAAGTGAAATGAGAAAAAAATACTAGAGATAAACGATGACTCCATTTGAAACTTTTTACAAGGGGTGGAGGGAAAGGTTTTGGCGGAGAATCAAAGGATGGAGGAGGCGGGTAGATGAAAATTTTCAGGAGAGGCTGGGAGGGAATGAACGAAATTTCTCAAATTAGGGTTTGTGCTGAATGCAGATGTAATATGTTTTATATTTGCTTAAAAAATAATGCGGGTTTTCGGTTGTGATATTCGGTTGTTCGGTTTTTGAGTCTACAACCGAAGACCGCACCATTTAGAAACGGTTGAGGCTCGAAACCGCTGCTTGGGCCCGAAGGCCGTTCGTGCCCGCACCGCAAGCCCAACTTTGGTGCGGTTTTTGGGCAACCGATCGGTTGCCCGCGTGCACGCCCAGCCCTATCCCCACCACACATACGGATTGAAATCATTGATCCTTGGGTAAATAGAGCAGTGAATAACAAAAATTAATAATATAATAAAGGAAATGATTTTTGTATAATTTTTTTATTTTTATTTTTTTATAACTTGACATGGTATTAAAATGGTTGATTTTTTTAATTTATATGGGATCCGTGATATTAAATGCATCTACTCATTTAATGACATGTAAAAATTAAATTTAAAAAATGATATAAAAAATTGTCCTTATGACACCACTCATATAATAATATATTATAATTATAAATTTATAATTATACATCATATTATAATATATTATTTATC